CGGGGCTGGGCGCCCTGCGCCTGTCGCTGCCGGTACCCGGGGCTGATCCCTCAGCGCGGCAGAAACGGCACAAAGCGAGCGGCAGCGCCTTGCTGTGCCTCTCTCACGCCGACTTAGCCGAGAGCCTTTTCTGATACCTCCCCTCCACGTATTTCTCCCTTTGGAACGCTTCGGGCTGATAGTTTTCTGAGATAAGGTTCAGTTTGCAAAGACCGATCGCAGGCGCTCCTGCAGAGATGCGGCTGTCTGTTCTGCTCCATCTTCTACTACTGCTAAGTCACAAGAGCCAAAGGTAGAAATTATTCCTCCTTCCAGTTCTTCTGTGCTGCAGTCTTCGTGGCTGGTGTGACTAGAAATCCAGAAATCACGAAGCTGCTCTGAATCATTCCCAGGCCCTGGCCAGGGGCTGTCAGTGCTTTGTGCCAGCTGCCGAGTGTCACAGGGACTGTTACAAAAATGGGCTACTGCACCGAGACCTCTCTAGCACTTGCAGCCACATGATGCCAATAGACTTCCCACAGTTTGCCATGCCCAAACAGTAATGCTTCTTTAGTAGCTATGCTTAATGAAGGAAAGGTTTCCCTTCAATCATCCTCTCTTTCAATAGCATGGTGCACCAGGGGCATCAAAATAATACAAAGACATATGATAAGGATGTGGGGTGAAAAGGGAGAATAAAGGGATATTATATTACCTATCTCTTTTCTCTAAGATATAAATAATCATAATCTGTGAACTGATTATTACCTTTTAACTTTTTTTTTTTTCTTTTAAACTATAGAAGGGACTCCCACCTACATGCATCATTAACATGCTCTGCAATCTAGACTATAGGTTTAAAGATTTTTAAATGTCACTTCAAGCTCAGGTGCTTGCTGAGCAGAATTATTATAGGCTAGCAAAACACATCCTGTCCTTTTACAAACTTCCTACAACAGGTGCTGCAGCCCAGTGCTGGAGATGGGATGCTGGAGGAGATGGTATTTTGGTCTGGCCTGGTGGGGTAGATCAGTTTGCTCAATTTAGGGTTCCAAAAGCTACTGGATTGAATGGATTAATTGGCTATTGGGAATTTGCACTCATTGCAACCTCACAGGGTGTAATCACACTCAGAATGTTCATTAAGGTTGTGCCTATGTGTCATGCACAAACCCTGCTGTGCTGGGTGTGAAGGATTTCTGATGAGAGATTTGTTTTTCAGGGAACTTACAAGTCATGCAGTCTCTGTGTAACAGCATGATGAACAACCAGGTACAACAGGTTGCTAGAAAACAACCTCTTGTTTCACCTATTGAGATGGTCCTGCTCTGGCAGGGGGGCTGGACTCGGTGACCTCCAGAGGTCCCTTCCAACCCCTGGCGTTCTGTGGCTCTGTGAAGAGCAAAGCGATTTGTGCAAGTGAGGCAGAGACCCACATGGCACTACTGGGCTGTGGAACACGCAGAAAGGTGGAGAAGCAGACTAGCATGGAATTATGCAGCTTACTGCTTATAGCAAATAAACTGATGAAGGCAGCAAAAGGGAAGGAAGTGAGAGGACTAATGAGATGGTGAGGATGGTAACACCAGGTAATATGAGCTGTACCATGGGTTTTTCTCCTAATCTGTCATGAAGGCAGATTGAAATAGTACCACTGCCCCTGCTGAGCCAGAGAGGGACAGGTGGCACCAAGTAACCAAAGAACATTAAAGGCAGATGTAAGGCTCAGCACAGTCATTTCCTAAAATCAGCCAAGCAATACTGTCCTGAAGGGAACAAATACACTGGCCTACATACGATTTCTATCAGCAAGCAGTCTTGTTCTAGGCCTCCACTGCACTTGAACGGACTCATACTACAGAAATGAAGAAAGATCACAGACTGCATCCCTGTGACAACATCATGCTAGGTATCACTCCACAATTATCTTCAGGAGACAACAGTCCATATACAAATTTTTTTAAAGCTGAAAAAAAAGTTTCATTTTAATGACTATATTGTTAAATTGAGATTATTTGATGCTTCCACATAAGGTGGTGCATGTGTGTGTATAACGAGTGCATGTGTTACACAGGTATACACATACAGAGATAGTCAGAACTCACAATCACCCAACGTACCAAAGCTGGCAGCCCCAGCCTGCATCCCAGCATTTTTGCCAGGGCATTCAGGGACTAGGCTCTGTATACTTAAACTGACTGCATATCAGCACTTCTATATGAAACTACTTCCATCTTATGTTAAAGATTTATTCTATTATAAAAAAAAAAAAGGCATTCTTATTTTTAAGAAATTTCCAAGCTCAGTAAAGTAGTTGTTTTTACCTCCTACAAATGTCTGTGTCAGTAGATCCCTCGATGACCAGCAGGCACTGGAGCAGTGGCAGCAGCCCTGACTCGTGGCACAGTGGGGTCACTGTGTGCCTCTCACAGGGCAGTTTTCCTGACCCCTGTAGGAACTCCTTCAGAGCAGGCCTCACCAACCCCAGGGTTTCCACAGGGAATTACTACCTCCTATAATACGGAGCCATCCCTCATCCTGGCCAAGCTGAAAGAGTTAAAGGTGATAAAAAAGGTTTTATTAAAATTATTTTTGAGACTTTCAAACTTTTTGTTCCCTCTTTCATATATTAATACTCATTCTTTTGTTTCTAAATGGAGATAGCTCTTGTTCCTTCCTCCTCCCCATGGAAGACCCCAACCAGTTCTGCCTTTTGAGAGGAGTCCTTGCTGAATGTGGGATGCCTACAGAACAATGACAAGGTGCTTGCTTGGTATTCACCATGATTTCGATGCTACCAGTCTCTTCTCTACTTGACCAGGAGAGCTCCTGTCTCCACCAAGGAGTGACTGCCTAGCAGCGGAACAGCTCTGCCTCTCGGACTCCACCTGCAATGCCACCTACAGGGCCCTGGAACACTGTGCCCTGGCTAAGGCTCGCCTCCTCCCGCTGGATCCTGACAGCAGGGTCAGGTGCCTGCGCGCAGAGCTGGACCTGGGAAACAGCTCTTTGCTGCACTGCAGGTGCCACCGGCGCATGAGGAGACAGGAGCACTGCCTGCGCATCTTCTGGACCGTCCACTCCGGCCTGGCAGATGGTGAGATGCAGTCATAGGCACTTAGGAGGTACTGGTAGGGCTCACCCCTGCCCCAGACCTGAGAACAACAGCAAAAGGCCACTTCCCAACACTGCAGGTATCACTTTGAACCACACCTCCTAGTGAAGGGAATTAATGATTGCTCTGTTTGATCAAAGAGAAAGCTGATCTGGTCTGGGACCGGCCCTTTGCATGTACTAGGGACCCTAAGAGACAAAGATAGCTGCTCTGAGGCAGTTGGGTTGAGTGCTGTGAGGGGAGTCTGACATGAAAATCACCTTAGAATGGTCATGTCTGCCCGTCACTGAAAACAGACGTGAGTGTGACACAGTGCAATGGAATCCTTGAACGTGCTGCTGCTTCCCAGCTTTAGTGGGATGACTCCACTTGGCCTCCCACTAAAGACCACCAGTGTTTCACATCTCCTCGTTAGCACTGAGGCTGAGAAAAACCACATGGCAACACAGACCAAATTCCAGCCACAGAAGTCTGATGACAAAATGTAATGTTTTTATACAGTAATACCTTTGCATTTCCTGCAGAACCATTCTTGGCATTTGACTTTGAGCAAGACAGAGCAACTTTGAACTTCAGCCTGAGGAAACAGGCATGCACAAATAAGAAAAAAATAAAAAAAAAAAAAGCTGTTCACAAAGCATTTCTCCCACTGCATAAAACATCTTGTATCTTGCCTAGGTTATTTCAATTTGGAGACCTCTCCGTATGAGAATCCAGCAAACAAAGAACATTGGAAGACAGATTATAATAAGCTGGCAGCTCTGTTATCAGGTAAGGATTGTAATGGTTACAGGATATAATGCTGCCCTTCCTTTTCAGGGCTTGAAAGTTGTTAAGAAGAGCAATTTGAAGTAATGGCACCTTTAATCAGAGAAGCACCTTCTCTTAACGCTTGCCTAAGTCTTCCCCCCTTACCAAGTGTAAATATAGCCACAGATCTGGGCCCATGGCACAAGGCATAACCCACAATGATGTGTTCTCTGAGACAAACGTCCTAACATGAGCCTGTGAAAACCACTATTTTGTAACTCGTATAGCTGTAGTGTCATACTAAGAGCACGTAGCAGGACTAATTTACTTTGCTTGTTTCTAAATCTGACCATCAAATGAGGGCTACTCCTAGTTCCATACAGAATCTCTTCTGGAGACTTGCTTCATTGTTTCTGGGTTTCTTTTGGCTTTGCAGGTTCACAGTTAGCAGGAGATGCAACAAATTCATGCCTGAAAGCAACTCATGTCTGTAACCTCAGCAAGAAGTGCGTTCGCCTGCGCACAGACTACGCCTCTACCTGCACCAGGGGAGCAGGAGGTGAGGACACGTGTGACCGTCGCAAATGCCACAGAGGCCTAAGGAATTTCTTTGAGAAAGTGCCTGAGGATTTCACCAAGAGGATCCTATTCTGCCCGTGTCAAGATGAATTTTGTGGAGAACGACGCCGGAAAACTATTGTTCCTGATTGCTCCTTCCAGTATAATACCAAACCAAATTGCCTCTGGCTTCTGGATTCCTGCTTAGAAGACCATATCTGCAAGTAGGTCCAGCAGCAGTGGACATTTAGCCAAGAGAAGAGAACAGCATAGCCACTGATAGTCTCATTTTCCTTCCTACAGATCCCGACTGGCTGACTTCCAGCAAAACTGTCAACCTGCAGACACGTCTCCAGATGGTTGCTCTCAGCACAACCACGCTGCATGCCTGCAGGCCTACATGGGGATGATTGGTAAGTGATACCACAGGAACATACAGAGTGGATGCTTTCAGGCCACAAACTTGCAGGCCTGCTCTGATGCTGTGAAGGACCACCTTGCTCTCGTGCAGGAGACAGCACTCAGTATACCAGTGAATATCCCTCAGCCTGACTGATGCTAGTGCTCTCTCTTGCTTCTGAGGTAAATGCAGCCCAAAAAAGAGCTCTTCCATGGCATTTATTGCTCTACTTTGTCCCATCCTCTGGTGTAAAATCAGCAGCACTTGCCAGAGATTTCTGGCAGCTGTTTGTATCTGGTGCAAAGTGCTCTAAACGCATGACAGAACAGGGCTCTTTGGGCCTGCCTGAACTAACTCATGCCTGCTGCAGGAGTTCCATCCCATCACAGCAGCAATTAAACGTGACATTTCCTCACTGCCTGGCTTGTAGACTCCTGATGGTTTGTTAGTGTTGTACACACCATCTTCCCAGAGCCAGCCAGGACGTGGCACTAGAAGGAAGGTCATCTTTGGTTTCAGGCATTCTCTGCCAAGCTGGTAATACTTTTTCAGTATGGCTCAAAAAAGGAGCTGTAAAGAGCAGCAGTATCTCAGATGATGTAAATCTAGACTATGCCTTCGGGTTTTCCAGATGCCTTTGCTGGGTTTGTACTGAATGAACTCTGGCTGAGAGGCACAGTACAGGTGCACAGCATTTGTCTGGCCAAGGGCCTTTTGCTGCCCTGTGCCAGCACAGTCCCTGCAGATGTTTCATGTCCCTCAGTCTCGTGCGTGCATCAGCTTCAGTTCTCAGTACACCTCACCAGCAGACTGGCTGAGTCAGGGACAGCAGTCTTCACACTTTCTCACAGCCCAGCACCCTTCACATAGATTCACCGGGCCAGGGTCACCTTGCAGGGGCTCCTGACCTCTCCTGAGTAACAGGCATCTCACAAGGGAAAGCTGCTGCCTCCAGGTCAGCATTCCCTGTAGTGTAACAGGACTCACAATGCTTCTTTCATTTGGTAAAGTAAATCCTGATTGCAGTTTCTGGGGATTTGGCACAGGCACGCCCATGACACCCAACTACATCAGTAACTCCAGTGTGGACGTCTCCTTGTGGTGTACATGTGAGAGCAGCGGCAACCAGAAGGAGAAGTGTGACCAGATAATTGGCATGTTTGAGAGCAACAAATGCCTTGGTAAGCATCAATCATACCACAGAATCAGAGAAACAGCTCAGCACAGGGGAATTCAAATCCTGTTGATTTCCAGATCCTACAGTGCATTGCTCTTGTGTATAGTTCTGTTGTCTTCTTTAGTGTCTCCTTGATCTCCTGTCCAATCTATGGGACCGGCCTGGATCTGCTCTCAGAAGTGTTTCTGTATCTTTTGGGAACCCTTGTGTTCATCTCAACACTATGAAGCTATTTCCAAACAGCATTCAAATGAAAGGGTTCTTAAAAAAAAAGAAAAAAAATCACAAGGGGCGTTTGGGTTCCCTTCCTCCCCCTCCTTACCTGTGCTCACCTTTGATCCTCACTTACTCGGTGAAGGTAAGTAGCTCCTGACATAGCCCCTGCTACTAGACTCAGCAGCATAGCAGTTACAAAAATCCTGTTACATGCAGCTATGCAATCTTAAGTCTGTATTTCTTTTATCTCCCTAGCATTATAGCAACAGCCCTTAATAAGATTTAAATATTTTATGTTTGTAAAAGCTTCCAAAGGATATAAAAGAAACCAGCATCATTAGATAAATGTTTACTATTTAAACCTACCTCCTGCTGTATAGAAAAGCCTCACGCCCAGCACTGAAGATCCACCTACAACCTAAACGTCCTATCTGAGATACAACACACCTACCCCTTACAAACTAGACAGCTGGCAAAGTCCCAGAGGTCCTCAGGTACAGTCAGCTGGCTTTGGAGTCTGCTCAACCTCACAAGTAAACCCACAGGCTACAAGGCCAGTCCCTGAACAGAGGGTGCATTTTCAAAGCCGATGCCGCAGCCTGCGAGCGCGTTTCCTCACGCAGCTTCCCAAGGCTTCTGCTCACCAGACTCCAAGGTTTGCACCAGAAAAGCACACTAAGACCCTTGCTTTATATCTGCTTGCAGAAAATACCATTTGGGCTGAAATGCACCTGAAGCAGACAGCTGTAGAGAGACAGGAAGACTTACTTTACTCATCCTCCCTGAGCTTCCAAGGAGACAGTGCCAGCACCTCTCTTGCTTCAGAGATGTCCCAGGTATGCGTCGCTGTGTTGCCTTCACAGAGCAGTGGGTCAAGTGCCCTAAGGTAGCTGAAAGACCTTGGATCTCGAAATGTGTGATTTTGGACATCAAAACAAGGGATGCCACATGCATGCAGAACCCTGGACCACGTTACCTACCTTGAGCTATTCCGTCCACAGAAAAGCAGAAACAGGAGACCTTGCTGCCTGGCCACAGGAGTTTCCTACAATCTCACATTAGTGCTCAGAACTGGCAGCTCTGCAGCCAGAGATTTGAGCACAAATGCATCTAACTGGGATTCATTGCTCTTTCTCATTTCCTAGGTGGCTGAAGGGAAGACACAGCAAGACATCTCCAAACACAGCAGTATGCCTATGGCCTCCTCTGTATATTCTGGAGCTGCTATTTCTTGGCCGTCTCTGGTTCTGTTCCTGCCCCTGTTGCTGAGTCCACACTAACCTGGCATAAATGGCATCTTTCCTTCCCGTATTATTAATCTTATTCCATATCCAGGCACCTCTCGCTATTGACTTACCTTTGGAAAACAGAAGGCTTCCAGAAAAGATGAACGGAACAGCCTTCACCCAGAACAGCAGCCACTGAAAACCTCCCCCCAACTTGCACCCCACTTTTCCCCAGTCAGTTTGCACTGAGCTCTGCAGATTTTGAGTACCAGTCAGGTTAATATTCCAGTGCAGTATTTTAAAACAAAGGTCTGAGTTCTGTCAGAACTTGGCTGCAGGGAGGGACCTGAGACAGTGTGCCCTACCACCCCACCTTCTGGAGATCTTCCTCAGGCATAAAATCATGGAATGGGTTGGGTTGGAAGGGACCTTTAAAGGTCCTCTAGTCCAACCCCCTTGAAGTGGGCAGGAACATCTTCATCTATAACAGGTTGTTGAAAGCTCCAACCTACCTGACCTTGAACACTTCCAGGGTTGGGGCATCCACAGCTTCTCTGGACAATTTGCTCCAGTGTGTCACCACCCTCATCGTAAAACATTTCTTCCTTAAGTCCAACCTAAACCTACCCTCTTTCAGTTTAAAACCACTGCCACTCCTGTCACTACAGGCCCTGGTGGAAAGTCTGTGTCTTTCTTATCATCACCCTTTTTATACTGAAAGGCCACAGTGAGGTCTCCACAGAGTCTTCTCTTCTCCATGCTGAACAACTGCAATTCTCTCATCCTTCCTTCACAGTGGAGGCGTTCCAGCCCCTTCATCGTTTTCCAGGATTCACCTCTGGACCCACTCAAACAGGTCCATGGCTGTCTTGTAGTGGGCACCCCAGAGCTAGATGCAGGACTCCAGGTGGGTTGGGGTGGACTACAGTAGCGTAGAGGGGGGAATCACCCCTCTCCATCTGCAGCCCAGGATAAGATATGGCTTTCTGGGCTGCAAGTGCACATTGCTGGCTAACATCTAATCTTTCATCCACCAGTATCCCAAAGTCCTTTTCTGCAGCACTGCTCTGGATCCATTCATCCCCTAGTCCTTCTTGATACTGGGAATTCTACCAACCTGGGTGCACAACCTTGCACTTGGTCTTGTTGAACTTCATGAGGTTCACACTGGTCCACTCCTCAAGCCTTAGAGTAGAGCATACCATCCTAAAGACTAGAAGTTCACACTGCAGGATGGACTGCAAGTAAACCTCAATGAACATACACATAAAGTCCCTGGTAAACATCAGTTCTGGATTACTTTCAGTTCCCTTTTTAAATCCACCCTTTTAAGTATATGAAAAATACTGTCCCAGACCCAGGACAGTATGTGACATTTTATATTCTTGTTCCTTTCTGTTTTGCCTCTTGAAACATGTATGTAACATCCACTATGGGAGATAGCAACAGACTTGGGTTTTGTGGGTTAAGATGCATTTTTTTGCTCAACCCCAGTAAATTTAGTCTTATCTGGCAAAGGATGACCTTGCCTGGCCTCAGGATGAACCTTCTTGGTAACACTTAGAGAATGCATACAGCTCACTGAAGCTGTATTAACCACAAAACCCCTGGGACGTGCAGGTGCAAATATCTCTGGAAGCTGCAGCTACCTTCTACCTCTTCACACAGTCAGGTTGTCATTGTCCTCTTCCACGCTGCCTGTCCAGCCTTCTCTGCCAAGCTCTATTTCATGACCTGTTTATTCTGAGTGTAAATGTGTGCACTGTGTAACTGCTGTTATTTTATACTGCATTTGCCTGCTAAAATGTGGTGTTAAGTGAATATTGATTTCCGAGCACAGGTTAATAGTCCACAATCAATTGTAAGAGTTGCTTCATGCCAGCCTGTGCTTCAGGATAGCCAGAAACTCATCTCAGAGCAGCTCCTCCATGTACACTTACAGTGCCCCTTGCCCATCCTATGAGATACAACAGATCTGAGTTATATTATACACAGCCAAACAATACCACAGTCCTGAAGAGATGCAGGACAGGTGGGTATTTCTTTTTACCCTGTGCTTTATCAGTTGCCAGGGAAGCACTAGCTAGGTAATACACTGTGATTCCCAGTCACTGTCAAGACAGCTTATTACAGAACTTTACATTGTCACATCTATCAGAGTAGTTGTCCTTCTGCAGTGGTAAGATTGCCTTTCCAAATTCCAGCTTCCTTTTTACTTCCTGTGCAAGTAGGGCAAGGAAACCACTGCATGTGGCAGAACCATCTCCTGTCACACAGAGTAGTAATATCTTATTTCCATGCAGTGGGAACAAATATAATGTCTTCTTAATGAAGAGGAGTATGAATGCTGGTATTTACAATTGCCTGCTGAAATGTGCCTATCTGCATCAAGAGACAGCACTGTTTCCATGTTTGCTACCATTCTTTAATGAAAACAGTGGTCTAATATCTACTTTGGACCGTCCACCATATGATGGGATCAGAAAAGTGTCAAGACTCTTGACTGTAGTGTCATAGTATCTGTCATTTGCAGAATTTATTGGAGAGTGACAGGGAAGAAGAAAATGTTCTTCCCAGTATTCCCCAGATCAGTGAGGTTATTTGTGAGAATAATGGAGTAGATTTCCCTGAGATAACTGTACCACACACAGTGTACTGCATTCATCTTCCACTTGCCTGCACTGGGATCTTTCCTCTTTCCCCACTTGAGTGCTCTATGCCAGGCTGATACAGAAAAAGGCATTAGCATTTTGTTCATATTCAGGGCACTGTGTCCCTATTAGTCTCTTATCCCTACTAAGAAGGTTATTGATTGCAGTTGCAGCCTCCTGTTGTGTCCTGGATTACGCAGGAAAATGCTCGACGTAGACAAATCCTGCTCTAGACTGAGATTAAGGAAAAACATGTCCATTGGGGTTTTTCTCCAAGTGTCCTGTGTCCCTTTTGCATGTACCTATGCACCTTTATATACACAGCTGCTTCTCAGGCTTGTTGATCACTAACTGCAAGCAAAATTCACCTCTAAATACACCTGCATTCACAGGTGCTCACACTGCTATGAGTACAAACCCATTTTCACTAGACTTCTGCAGCAACTCTCTCCAAACATCAGTCATTCAATTACACAGCATAATGCATGCACAAGTGTAACTACTAGCAACATCATGCCAGTACCAGCTCAGTTCTGTTAGCACCACCAGTGTTCAGACTGACAGTTGCCTAAATCCCTTAAGAGCAGTTCATAACTACAGGGCAATTCACCAAACCCCCTCAGCTTCTGTTCCCCAGGAACTGGAATGCAACATCCTGTGAGTACCTTCGGTCTAAATGCAAAGATAATCTAATAAAAATTCTCTACTCAAACAGTCTCAGCATTGAGCTCTCAGCAAGCATATATGAGGAGGGAACCTTCTAATTATTGTAATGTAGATTATTTTTAAAAGTGTAAAATAATGCCAGATCTCACTAATAAAATTTATCTTGTACCTCTAGAAGTCTCCTGCTTTTCTTTGCCTTTAAGAGAAGCTACAGTCCTTGTCTGCTGCTGGAGGCATAATGAGAAAGGAAAAAAAAAACCATGTTAGACAGAACCTCTTAAAAAGCAATCTTAACTTTCACAGACATCACTCACTGCCAGGTACTTCAGACTTGTCTTCCAGAATTCCAACATAGCTTTAGATTCCTTACTGTGGTCTAATGCAGCATTTACAAAGGGCATTCATATAGTCCTCCTGCAGCAGTGAATTCAGTCACTGTGTCAGGGGAGTTGTTTCTTGTGTGACAAGGTGGAGAAGCAATACACATTTATTGCCCAGGGTCATACGCAAGATGATGCCAGAGATAAGCCTTGAATTTGGAAGTCCAAAACTACTGTGTCCTTACCTCAATAAAACCATTCCCACTGCCTCCAAGAGATGGACGTTTCAGTAAGAATCAAGCAACTGCAGTTTTCCTTTACAAGGGGACACTATGCATCACAGATGAGGAAAAGCTAAGCTTTACTTCAAAGAGTAACTTCTGGCTACAGGTCCCTGTTATGCCTCTTAAAACCTGCTGAGAGTAGAAGGTAAATTGGAGTTGACAAGACAACACTACAGATCCAGCACCACAAAGCACAAGAGTTTCTTTTTCAATGCATACCAAAAAATCACAAGGCACTCTATTTGCTAAAATGGTATGCAACTTTATGCAAGAATGAGGACAACTTTCAAAGTAATCTTTGAGGTGTCTGAACCAGAGCAAGCTTTTGGGGATAAGAGTGAAGAAGAAGAGACAAGCCAACAAGCACTGCTGTGGAATCAAAACCAGCCACTGTTCTACAGTTGCTTTCCCCTTGAAACAAATACTGGTAAATACAATCAGAGGCTAATAATTTATACCTCAGGGATTTTGTGGCTGAACCTTTTTTCAGATGAGGGAGGGTGGGTTGAGGCTGAGCTTGGTTTAGTCTCTAATGGAAGCTCTTATAGGTGATAGCTCTCCTCCAGGAAGTGACTCGGTGTTTGGGTTTCTTGCAAACCCCAGGGTTAGCAGAGGTCAGGGGATGCAGCACTTTCTCCAAGTGCCTTCATGAAAATAGCCCCACACGCTTTCCACTTACAGCTGATCACCTCCATTATCACCAGGCTAGGAGGGGATGATCAGCAATTGTTAAGTGCCTGAATCAGACTAATAGCTCACTGCTAATTCCCCCAGCAATGTGAATCTAAATTCCTGGTAAACAAAGCGACTGCTTTTCACACACAGGGATGAACGCCAAAAGCCTAATATTAGAGCTCTGGAGCTAAAGCTTTTAGAGCAATCCTGTCCACTCAAAGATGTTTAATGACATTATATTATGTACTAAATAATTAGAAAATGAAGGCCTACTTTGAATCAATGTGGTACTGTCTAATTAAGATGAAAAAGGGGTTCTAACCTGTTTTAATCAAGTTTATACTAAAATGGTGTACCTGATAAATGGCACTGATAACTATGTCTTTACCTTTGGGCAGAACAAGGCAGACATTAAGCTAGCGCAAAATAATTGTGGGATTTTTGGCTCATCTTTCTTCTTATTGGTCCCACCTGTTTTCCTGTAAGGCCTGAGATTCTGCTGTTCTTCCCCTCCCACCATCA